TGGCTGCATTTTTGCATTCTTTGCATTTCCCTGAGATGTATCTCAAGGATGACTGTCAAAAAAGTAACTTGGAAAATTCCCAGAACAATTCGGAAAGTCATTCCTGAAAGCTTTCTCCCCCGCTTCGCTCATTGATACAGTTCTAGCAATTTTTTTCCTTTCAACCGGAAAGAGAATGAAGATGCATTCTCCTGTAAGGCAGACAAACATATTTCATTTTCACAGTCAACGAGGCAAAAGTTTTTCAATCTACCCGGAAAATGTGTGGCACCTTTTGCCCCTTTTGCCCCTTTAACCCCGGTGGCAAACTGTGTCATCAGACGCGCATAACTTTTATTGAACTGTCACCTGGAGAGAGGAGTGGCAACTATCCACGTCTATATACGAGATATGCACATTTATATGCATCTGGTTTGGGCAACCCAAAAGGTGACAAGTGCCGAGTCGAAAGCCGCAGACGGAGTTCGACTCGTTCACATAAATTATTACACTCGCCCCACGGCGACGATCAAAGTGTTTGGCTGTGTGTCGATATGCATTTATGATTGCTCTGTGACATTTGCATAGGACACGCCCGCCTGCGCCTTTCACCTTTCACCTGTTGAATAAGAGAGGGGTTTACTTTGATTCTCTTAAGTTGGAGCTTGGGATGGATGGTTTTCTTCCGTGGCTTTTTGGTATTTGCACGACACAATCATTAAATAGCCATGGCCAAGTGCTGACAACCACAAGTACGGCAAAAACACAGACTCGAGAACTGAAACGGAATCAGAAACAGAAACAAAAACAACAAATTACAAGCTCACATTGTCAGAGTTGCACTTTAGGCGACATAAATTTCATGTACGTCGCCATGACAGAGCAAAGCAGGAGGCAAAAAAAAAAAAGAAAAGAAAGCAGCCAAAGAAGAAGACTAAGGGGAGATCTATCCCAAATAGGACGAATATGAATACTCTTTTTTACAAAATTAATACTTGGGGAAAAATCTACAAAATTGGAATTTAATATTATAATATATTTATTATAAACTTTCTAATGTTTTCAAAGCGATTTAAGAAGCGCTTTTTAAGATATAAACTTATTTTATTCAAAATAAAGTTTATTTTCTATTTCTTTATTTATTTTGAATTCAACTTTCTCTAGAATTTCTAATATTTTTCCTTTTTTAACAACCTCTTGGTTAAAATTGCAATATTTATTATGTAAGAGTATGAAAATAAGAAGACCAAAGGCTGTCACAGCTGCAAAGGCAACAATAACAGCAGTTGCAACCAGAAGGTGTCAATGTACAATTGCAGCAACAACAACAAATACAACAACAACAATGGCAATGGCAACAAGGAGCTGGCACAACAAAGAAGCCATTGTTGCTGTTGTTGCTGCTGTGCTTTTTGTTGCTGTTGCTGTTGCACATGCCAAATGTGGACAAAGACACGACGCCAAGGAGCTCGCCTTGGACACAAAGGTCTGCAGGCTATCTCAGACACTGCAAAAATAAAAGGACTTTATTCAAATTATAACGAAAAATCTATTTAAAGTTTAGAAAATTAAAATTTTCAATATAAAACACATGCCTTACCATGCTTTATTTATGTTTGGTTTCAAAATGAATTATTATTTACTTTTCAAATATATTTTTCTTAAATAGAAATACCTCTAAACATAACCCTTAATAATCCATCTCCTTTTCCGAGATCGACTACAAAGCATTTCTCACCGTTCTATTGACACACGCAACGCTCGCCTTGGAATGTTGCCGCCGCCGTCGTCGACGTCGCCATCGCGGTGTCGCAGGCTTGTGTAATTACGCGAGTCGCATTAGCACAACAAATCGACCCCACAGAGTTGCATTTAATTAGTGGCTCCTGAAGCTTCCTTTGTTAGGGAAAGGGGAGAGTGGGTTCGAAAGGAACGCCAACATGTCAAGCGAAATTGTTGGCATAATTCATAATTGAACTGCATTCGTGGCTGCCACACGTTCACCATGCCCCGCACGTCCCAATGCCAAGTCGCATCCTTCCGTTGGTCCGTCCTCTGTCCTTCGCTTTGATGGCTACATAAATTTTGTGATAGGTTGTGGCGCCCAACGTCGGGCCCCTGTTGGTCTCTGTCGTGCCCCGGTGATGCACTATACCACTGCTTACCCCTTTTCCCAGGAGCTCTTTGCTCTTTAAACTGCTAGTTTTATACTCTATCGGAAGGAGGGTATTATGGGTTTATGAAAGAAAGTTGTAGAAGAATAGGAGGAAGAAGTTTTAGGAAGTTAGGTGATTATTATTTAGTAACCAGTTAGAAAAACTACACAGAAATCTTATCTGTTTTTAGAGGTATATTTATATTAATAGATTTATCATTTAACAGATTTATTATCTATCAGAAGGGTATTAATTATTTCCCTTCTTTCATTTTCTACCAACTTTAAAGAGTATTTAAAACTTTATTACCCTCTCCCAGGTTTTGCTTGACTTTAAAGCACCATTGTTAGAGGAGTCTTTTAAATATTTTGCTGGCTTTTGTCCAAAGGGGCGCACCTACAACGTCGTAGGTTGTATAAGTGGCGGTACCGTTATTTCCTCGCTCCTCACAGTTGTTAGCCGAGTATTCCATTACCACAACTCACATGTCGCGCAGCCCAAAAGCAGCCCACCCAAGTTATTGTTTCTGTTCGGCGTGGTTTGTTGAGTATCTTTAACTGTGACTGTGTTTTGGCCGGGTTCAAAGACTGTTGACATTCGCTGGCTATATATTGTTATTGCGATTGATGCGGCAACCACATCCGTTTTAGCTGCATGTTGGCTGTCCATTGATTGACATAAGCGCTTTAAAGACTTTGCCCAGTGAGTGTCCATAAGGTAAGCGACTTTGGCAGCAACGCTGGATTAGAGATGTTGCAAAGGGATTGAAAAATTTGATATCTGAGAATGATTTTCTGATTCCTTTATACCCTTTGTGCTCTAAAAAAAACTGTAAAACTATAACCAAGCCAAATGGGAAACTGAAAACACTTTACACGGCAATCAAACTTTGAAGACTAGAACTATTCCAAACGATTTAACAATGAATTCTGCAACAAAATCTCCTTGAAAAGGGATATACACACAGAGGAGTAGAGGTAATGGTGGGAAGTAGCGCATAACCATAATATCAATTTCAATAAACTAACAAGAAAATGTGCGAGATGTGAGCGGAAGCTGACTACAGTATATGGGAACTTATGGAGCGCACAGAGGAAGTCGAGGATATGAAGGTTGTCATATGCCAAGAGACACACACACACACACTGTAAACGAAGGCAATAAAGGTGGCTTTCAATTCCCAGCAAAGCCAAGAAATAACAGACTGTGGCTGGGAATATTGAAAAGATAGCGGGTAAGACACACACTTGCCAGTAATATTTGCCAAAATTCAGGGCAAAGAGGGTTTCAATGTTTGGCAGAAGGTTGTCAAGGATATAAGCATTTTATTCGGAAAGTAATAAGAGATTTGAAAAATATAAAATAATTTTTTATGGCTTTTCAAAAAAGAAAAGCATTTAAAAATATGTTCTTAAGTCAAAGTTTATAAATAAGAAACTATTTAAATAATCTAGTAAACAATTGCCTTGAACTATTGTATCTAAAACTAAGTAAAAGTTCAACTTTTCTTTTTCTAAAAAAGAAAATATAACTTTAACAAACTTCTGCCTGCATTTTCCTATATTTTTTTCCACTCGGTTTCCAATTTCTTGCATAGATAAAATACCTTTGTTTACCACAAAACAAGTAGCAATAAAATGTAAACTTTTTGTATAAAATTTATTGAGCAAAACTTTAACTCGATTTCTGTCTTTGACTAGTAACTAACTTCTCGTTTGAAAATGCAAAAGGAGTGTGTGTGTGTGTGGCAATCTGCAGATATTTTGCAGCTTATTATCCATGTAGCCAGTGGCTTCGACTTGTGGATAGATGCATTTGGGTGTATGACAAGCTGAATTAACATGTGAGACACAATGCTCACACTCGGTCCAGGCCAGTCACTTCTTGTTGTCACTTGACACTTGGCAGAACTTTGTCGGCGTACATTTGTGGCTGCTCCTCCCGGCCAGCATGGCGTATACTTGTTAAATGCAGAGCAGCAACACAGAACAGGCCAGAGAACATCTCGCCAGCAGCAGCAGCACCACCACCAGCTGCCCCAATGATTGTCCTACCCCTCATGCTCTCGGCACCCTTCAATGTGGCAAGTTCCTTTGTTGCAAAGACGGCTTTGTGCATTGTTTAAAACTGGGTAAAGTGATGCAGCAACGGCTGGAGAATAATAGAAAAAAACTGATGCAGGACAAGCAGACCTTTGGGGCAAAGTTAAGGTTCATTCTTCTACGATTCAACCTTAACCCACATTCGGTTTTCAATTAACAGGCCCGTAAAAGCTTTGAAAATTAATATGCTGAAAATCTGGAAACAATTTGCCAACTAATAGGAAAGGGTTTAAAATCGCATTAAAAGTTTCTTTGCCCAAGAACTATGGACACACACAAACATATAGTGTATATATGAATATTCTTACATGTAGAGAAAGATTCAATGAGCGCCAAGTTGTGGCTAGAAACTTTGCAGTCAGAAAGGCTTAAAGCCCTTTTCAAAAGTGGCAGCAGCTTAAAGTGGAAACTTTTTGGGGAGCCAAGGCGAAAAATGTTGCACTGGAAAAATAAGTCAAGAAATCATCAAGGATGCTATTAGCATAGGAGACCAGAAGTGACCGAAGTTTGTGCCCTCAAAGAGCGGCTAAAAGTTTAACTGGAATTTTTTGAAAGGGTTTCAGAGAACTTTTAACAAGCTCCTTATGGTTTTTACACAAAGGAAATAGGGTTTTTTTTTTATAGTAAATATTTCTATATTAGAGAGATTTATCCCAAAGTCTCCTAATATAAAAAAGTAAGTAAAGTGATAAATAGTTAATAAATATATTTTCTAGAATAAAGAAACCTTCAATTAATTCTCTTTTTTGTGCCACCTTTTTAGATGCTCTAAATAGTTGTGAAAAAAAAAACTTTAAAGAATTAACAAAACACGCACCACACCCATGGCCATGCAGGATATACGCCTACGCCTGGAACCGCAGCACAGTACAGTCACATTTTTAGCCTCTGCCTCGTCCTGTTCCGCCTCCACATCCTCCTCCAACTCGTCATCCCAAACAGCTGAGACCACGCTGATTGAGACAGCTGAGAAGTCACCACCATCAGCAGGCGGCAGGTAAAAAGAACTAGAGTATCCCTTAATCATCGTCTCAAAGTTTGCACCCCCGTTAAGCCCTGATATCATTTGTTAACCGCAGTGAACCAGCTGCTGCTACTGCTGGAGCAGTGACAACGACGACATCGCCGCAGCATTACTTCCATCATCATCATCATCATCCACCGGCACAGCAGCAGCTTCGTCCCCCAGTAACTCCGCCTTTGCATCCGCAGCACACACATCCGCATTCGCATCCGCATCCTTACCAGCAGCGCCGCCCTGTGGAGCAGCTGCAGCTGCTGCACAGCCACCACGATGCCCAGGAGCTGTCCGGACAGGAGCCATCGCCCTTGCATCCACATCCGCATCACCTGCGCTCGCCCAGCTCCGAGGAGGATAATTCGCCCACTGAAATGAATAATTGCCGTCGTTTGGTTGATAAACCGCCGCTGGTAAGTCCTGAAAAAAAAACACTGGGGGAAAATAAGGCCTGGGAATAATTTTTAGATGTTTAAAAATAGTTAAACTATAAGCTAAAAAGCTTTAAATATATATTTAGTGAAAGAAAATAACCAAAAATATATTTAAAACTTGGAAAATACTAGAAATTCTTAGAGTTTCAATAGGATAGAGAGTTTTCTTCAGTGTTTTCCTCCTCGCTCTCCTTTCGCTTATCAATCCCGCTACTTAATATTAACTATTAGCTCAGGTATTGAAGCCAGGAGAGGGCGGCGGAGCAGGTGGGCGAGACAGTAGTCCGGAGAGCAATCATTTTTTGTATTGTGGCCAGGTTCCTTTGAAGCCCAGCCTCCCAGAGCTCGCAAATTACTTTGCACAGAGCATAAATCTGCTTACGCTGATGATTTGCCAGGGAAATGGAGAAAATGGTTGAAAATGAATGAAAATGGATGAAAATGGTGCCTATTGAGGCATAGGGTCGGTCTGGGCTCCACTTAATGGCAAAGCAATGCAAAGTAGCGGCTGAAAAAAAAGAGGAAAACTTCAAATTGAGACAACATTAAGGGGGGGTGTGGGGAATATAAGTGGAAAATCCTTTGCCTGGCAAAAACTAAAATTAAGTGTAATATTTCAGTTTTGCCTTTCTGCAGTTGCATCTTCAATTTTCGACTTTCTTTTGGCTAAAATCGCTACTTTCAATGAATTGAAAGGCTAGTTGGGCCTCCACAATGATTGAAGTCCACCTGAAATGGAGTGTTGTTGTGCCCACTAAAGCCTGCAGCCGAAAAGAGTTCATTAAATTAATTTGCACAAATGCAAATTTGCGACTAACGGCACTTTGGCACGCGCCACTAACAGAAAAGCACTAACTGCACACAACTAAAATTGGACAAAAAGGGAAAGAGCACTGGGAGAAATGTTTGAAACTATTTTGGAAGAGAAATATCATAAAAATTAATCATATTTTTCTTTCAAAAAATTTCAAACATTTTTGAAGGTTAAAGGTTGGCTTATTTCTAGAAAAACTCTTTTAAAGATTCACTTTTATAATGTCTTTCTTTAAAAATTTAAATTGATTATTAATTTTTCTGATAAATAGGCAAAATCTTAACCTTAAATATATGTAATTTAATTTTAAAAATTAAAATTCCTTTTGTTTAAAATTAATTAAATATATTGTCTTCATTTTCAATGCCTTTCCTTTCTTCAAATTATTTCCACTATGATTTAAATACCTTCTCTGCTCAAGATTTGCTTTAAGATGAACCCAAAGAAGATGCCAAAATTAATCTAAAAACTTTTAATTGGACGCATTAATTAGTTGCCTTAAAAAATATATAAAACCCTCCTCACTATACTCCAACCTCCAGCGTGAAGGCTCTTCCCTATTACCATTTACAACTCGCAACTTAAATAGTTTAATGACAGCCCGTCAAGGCGCAGCCATTTTCCTTTAAGTGCAGTGCGAGGAGTCCTGCCCAGGATGTGAGGCAAATGGCAGTCAAATGCCGTTAACTTACTGACTTTATGACACATAAATCGCAGCAAAAGGCGGCAACTGCAAATGCAAATGCATCCGACAGCTACGTGTTTTTAGGCCTAGGCAGAAGGCTCCTTTCTCCTACTCCTCCTGCCCCCCGAAGGACAATGGAAAACTTTTCCCTGAAAGTAGGCAACCTGCAAAAGTTTTCCACAGATAACGAAGCAGCACTCCTCCTCGCAGGGAAAATCGAGGAGAGACAGAAGGAAATGCGAGAGAAAATCAAATGGCTGCTGCCGCTGTGAATGCTGCTTAGACACGTCTATTGTGCCTTTTGTCTGGGAAATACCTGGGAAAATCCAAAGCGAATCCCAGCAGCCCCCGCCCTCTTGTTTTATGCATACTTTATAGTCGGGATTTGTCTGCCCGAAGGGAGTAGTAGTGGTAGTAGTGCTGGCAACTTGTCCTTTTTCTCGAGGAAATTTGTCTTGAAAGTGGGTTTAATAAGAACAGAAGAGTGTCCTTTAGGAGGATAATTTTCAATCCATGTTTACTTATTTTCTGGAAATATATCTTGAAACAAAATTCGTATTAACTTTGAATTTAATAATTTTATTTTTCAACCAAATTCATGTCATCTCTGGCTTATTGCTCTCGTTCTGTCTGAGTCCCTTTCGATGCCATTAGCATAATGGGGGCATTAGGTTGGCCCCAACGCTCTGATTGCATACTTAACAACGGCCAAGTGGCGAGAATGCGCCAATTTAATTAGCTGCAATTGGAAATTCACTTGAACGAACCTCCCGGGCAGGCAGCATCTCAATAATCGACCGGGCAAAGAATTTCCAACTTCAATTCCAGGCCAGGCGATTTCGCTTTCATCTCTCTTTCTCTCTCCATAAAATCCACATAATTATCGCAAATTACGCGGAAATAACCAAGTCCAATTTACGTTTAGGCTGTTGGCTAATTGCGAAACGCAATGGGAAAGCATTTGAGCGAAGAAGGAAACCCCAAAGGCAGTAGAATTAGCCCCAAAGTTTCCCTTTTCAGCTTCAACTCGACTCCTTTCAAAGTAATTTGCCGCAGAAGCCAATGGTTTTGGGGGGGCGTGGCAGCAAGCCCCTCCTCTGTTTAACATTTTATTGGTAACCAAAAATTTTACACATCAATCTCGGTTGTTGTTGTTTGTTGTTTGTTGGAGGCGAGAAAAGTGGGTAGAAGGGAGGGACGTTGTTGCGGTTCTTCTGGTTGTGAGGGAAAGAGCTAAAGTGTGTTTGATGTTCGCCGGATTTTCCGGGGGGTGGGGAGCTAAAAGGGGGTTGGTAGTAGGGAGTGGACACTCACAAATCCCTGAACAACTGCACCTGACCTACCAATACTGGTCAGACACACAATGCCAGAGTACCGAATTCGCCATTATCGCAATGCAAAAACTTTGCCAAATTGGCAGACAACATGCAACATGCAAAATGTACGACTAGCAGCGGTTACACTGAAAAAAAAACAAGAGGGTTAATAAATAAAAACAGAAAGAAATTTTGTGAAATTTCTTTAAAAAGTTTTCCAGCTTTAAGAGACGAGGAATAATTTGGGAATATTCTTAATATTTATCATTTAACCTACCTATATTTTCTCTCCCTGCATTTGCAATCCTTTCACAGGTGAAACGCCTCACCATGGGCATCGGCCTGCTGCGAGGCACCGAGGACAGTCGTCCATTGGTACACAGCACCTGCGGCTCCTCCCTCAACTCTGGCTCTGGCTCCGGCTCAGGCTGCGGCTCTACACAGACCATCTCGGATGGCTATGTGAACGAGGCCATCTGCGATGGAACGCCGGAGAAGTATGTGGCCAGCAAGTTTGGTGACTCCTGCCGCCAGTCGCTATCCGCCCTCGAGAGTGCCACGCAGCGCCTGCAGGTGGAGCTGCCTGCCAGCAACAAGAAGTATTTGAGGGAGACGTGCAGCGGTAAAATCACTGAGAAAAATATTTAAAACATTAACTAAGAAGTACAAATATTTCCCTTATCTTACAGCCAACTCCAGTCCAAAACTGTTTCCCGCCCATGGCTCTCTGCGTTTGGATAACCTCAGCCTGGCCGAGCAGCAGGAGCTGAAGGGAGCTGCTTGGTTTCAGGCGGGCATACCAAGAGAAATCTCTTTAGAGGTCCTTTCGAGGCAGAGTCCTGGCGCCTTTTTGGTGCGTCAGAGCAGCACCAAGCCAGGATGCTTTGCCCTGTCGCTGAGGGTGCCACCACCTTCGCCAAGAGTGGCTCATTATCTGATCTTAAGGACACAAAGGGGCTACAAGATCAAGGTGCAACTGGGGTTCTATGTATAATATAAGAAATAAGATGCATAATGTCTTAATATTACTAAGCGTTACGCATCTTATTAAGCTTTGATGTTAACTCTCTTTACTCTCTTCTTATCTTCCTTCTCTCTTATATCAGGGCTTCACCAAGGAGTTTAGCTCCCTGAAATCCCTGATCACCCACCACTCGGTGATGCCGGAGCTCCTGCCAGTGCCACTGACGCTGCCACGCCCGCCCAGTGCTCGTTCCCAGCGAGCCTACGATCAGGATCGGGATCGAGGCGGCAGCATCCAGAACGGAAACGGAGGCGGAGGGGATTTTGAGATGTACGGCTCGCTGAATGACTTTCGGAAAATGATGGCCGATTTGAATGTGTGACCGCCGCCGGGCGCCGGGCACTGTATACTGGACACTGGACACTTAATTAATTAAGTAATTATGTCACGTTGATTGAATTAAGCGGCGCGGCTTGTCACATTGTCCGGGTCGAGACAGGATAACAATCTGTTTAATTTGCGTAATTGGCTGTGCGGACGACGGTTGACGTGGCTACCGATGAATAGGCTCCATCCCGCCCCTGTGTGTGCACCTGTCCACCCATTGCTGTGTCCACCTGTCCACCTGCCCCGTCAGGTGCTACAAAAATTGCACAAATTTTTTTATGAAAATTGATAATAAAATCAGCATGGAATCGCGCACGAATGTGCTCAAAATCATTTTTGCAAAACTGATTAAAAAGGTGGAAAAATACGCAAACACAGACACCCAGAACGAGCTGATTATTATTTTTCTGCGTTTTCATCATGATTTTTCCATGATTTTTTTTCGCAAGAGAGAGAGAGAGTGGCAGGTGCAGCAGACACAGACATCTGAATGGGGCAGCCGGATTAAATGTTAATGTTTTTTTTTCGGGAGTGCATTTGATGCCCACAAAATAAAGGAATACAACTAGATAGATAGACTTGAATACATATATGAACTTGATGATATCAATCCATGTACTTTGTGTAATAAAGAACAAGAAAAAGAAAAAAACTGACTTTTATTATATTTATTTTAAAATATAAGATATTGAATTTATTCTAGAATTTCTGTTATATATTTTATTACATTTGTTTTATTTTTAATATTTGTAAAAACCTTTTATAATCTCTTGAAAATGCCACCGAAAAAGGCCAACGCCTTCATGGAATTCGTCCACGAGTGGCGTCTTACCAACCCCAAGGGTCTGGGCATGTCCTTGCCGGAGGCTGTAGATCGTTCTGGTGAAATTTGGAAGGTAAGCTCCCAAGGATATGCTGGATTCACGGGATTTCAGGCGGTGTTCTTGTAAATAATGACCCAGGAAGAGCACACTCGGTACGTTGAGAAAGCCAAGAGCATCAACCTGCAAATTCGCGGGCATCCCGACCATCCATTGGTACGAATGGATCTGGCTAGACGCGAGGTTGAGGATCGCCAGAAGGAGATGAGGTCGAGCACAGAACGGATGGTATTAGAGGCTCTTAAGAAGCTTTGCGTTGCCAAATGTTAAAAGAAAACGCTTGTTTTAAACACTTTATTCTGGTGTCAAACCATCTGGGGTTCGTGCGGAGTGCTTTTAGAGAGCTTTCTCACTGGAAAAACTTCGGAAAATTCTTGAAAGGACCTTAATAAACCTATAAACAGCATTTTCACACTTGACAAGCATGTCAAACATTTATTTTCCCGTTGATGTTACCTTTTAGTTTCCATTTTGGTTGCATAGTGGCGTTTTTGTATGAAACAGGACATGTTTGATGACGAAGAGGGTATTTCGATGTCGAATTTAGTTCGAACTGTTATACTTACGATATAAAATTGGTTGGTCTAAATCGAAATCGAAAATTGTCAATGGAAAACCTGTTTTCCTCTGCTGGAGTTTTCATGAAGCACTGAGCTCTCTGAAATAACAGTAGAGGGTGCTTTATACAGCAGAAAAAGTTATTTACATATGTAAAAATTATAAGTAAAATATTTTTTGCTTTTAAATTAATTAAGCAAAATAATAAAATAATAATTTTAAGTCTTAGAAAATCAGAATTATTTTCATAAACCAAAAATTGGGTTTTACCTAAAATATAGTTCATATTTTCTTTGCTAAATCATTAGCTTTTGTCTAAAATTTCATAAACTAAAATTTAAAAATATTTATATTTATAATTAAATTTAAAAAATCAACAAAAATCCTTCTTAAAATCACAATCAATATCAACAATTAATCAGAAGACCACCCTTTCCCACGACCATTCACCTAATTCGATGACATCTCGATTACGAAAGCAAAGCCACTTGGCAGCTATCCTAGATTAGGTCACAATTTGACTTCGGAATGACTGTATTCCGTTCGTCTGACTTGGCCAGGAGGAAACGCAGCGGGCTGCAAAATAATTGTCTTGTCAACTTATGGATTTCGCATTGTTTGGCCATTTCGCCGGGACATCATCAATCAGGCGGACAAAGGCGTGCAACCTAAACACACACACACACACACCGACACAAGAGGTCGCACAAGGACCAAGGACCCTCACGCACACACACATGCCACTTACGAGTGGCACGACCATCATCAGAGTGACGGACAACTTCCAGTTTTCGGGGCTTACTTCATGAAAACGAATAAAAAAAAAAAGAAAAAAAGAAAACGTCGATCAACTCCCGAGACATGACCAATAAAAAAGGGTTTGCTGGAGGCCAAAAGACGTTCGTTTCTTCGTTGGCAACAAAAATTTGGCAAACTTGAGCCTAATTAAAATGCAAAACAGTTTCCTCTAATTTTAATTTTCACCCTTCGCTCTCAAGAATCTATTTTTATATTTCACCACCAAGGGAAATGTTGGCAGTGAAACAATTTTTATTAAAATTAAAGCAAATCTGTTATTGCCGGAAAGGTAGGGCAGTAAGGACTGGTGGGTGAGGATTGCTATGCCCTATTTTGTGAATGATTTCCTGTAGCCAGTGTCCACTGTACTCGGACTTGTATCTATTGGCATATTGGAAAAGTGCCATGCCACGGCGACCTTTTTTTTCGGTCCCTTTTTGCCGGCATCTTTTTGCGCCAGAAATTTTCCTTGGCTTCGTTTTTATTTTTGTTGCTTTAGCGCCTGCTGGATACGTCTTTTTAGTTTTTTTATTATTTTTGCTGGGGACCAGGACCTGGTCAGTTTGCCATTTTTACATATCCCAAAGATATAAACTGGGAGAAAAATATTTAAATTTATTGGAATTTGAAGGGAAATATACTTTAAAATTGTATTTAATTTTACTACATTTTATTTAATTTTTTTTTATAAATAAAAATTAGTGATAATTAGGGGATTCAACTAAAAAATAAAATTTAAAAATTATATTTAATGCAACATAATTTTATTTATTATTTTTTTTATTGATTAGAATAAGAATTAGAATGAATTTACAATTTATAAATTTATTTAAAAATTTGATAAATTTAAAGTTAGGTTTATTTATTATTTTATTTTAATTTTTTTAATTTAAAAATTAAGTTTTTAATGGGTTTTAAATTTGACTAAATTTGATTTATGATTACATTATTGCTTAGAACTAAAATTACCGTAAATTAAACATTTAAAAAAAGTATTTTAATATTTCTAGAATATAAACAAATATTTAAAATACATTACTTAAAAAAAATATTAAAGATAATTTGATAGAAAATATTTATTATTAACATTTTTATCATATATAAAATATCTAATCTAATAATATATATTTTTTTTTGTAAAAGCTATATTAGTTAATAAATAACCTTGGGAAATGTTTAATAAATGCTTAAAAATTTCTTAATATATTTTTTAATATTTTAAGCATCCCAATTTCTCTCTCTTTCCATATACGAATACATTTCGGACATACTTATAAACGCACGTGACCATAAAAGTGCGTCTGTCTGCCGCCCCAAAGGATATTTTGTGTATTTCGGTCATGTAACGGTAAAAATTGTTTGCATATTGTTTCGGCCAGGCCAACACGGCCATTGTGATTGTGCGTCCCGCTCTCAATATATCAATATATATATCCCAGAGTTCCGGTGTCCAGTGTCCTCGTGTCCCTGTGTCGCTGTATCGGAACGTGTGCCAGATTGAATGAGGCAAATGAAGCGATCGTGATGACGACCAAGAGCCAAGGCGAAGAAGGCGGCAGCAGCAAACTTTCGTTTGTTAAACAAATTAAAATAAAATATATGTGCGAGAGCAGGTCACGCACGTGCGCCTGTGGCTATGCAACGATTTCTGCACACCAACACACACAAACACACAGGAACACACACACTAAAATACTCAAATTAATGGCCGGCAGCACCATAAGTTATGCAGCTGCATATTAAACGTCCGATTGCGAGCCTGATTTCGATTCCAAGTCGCAGGAGCAGCGGGGCCTAGCTTTGTGGCATTTACACCAATTATCGCACACACACACAGGGAGGTCCTGCATGTTATATCATAGCTGGTCGGGAGAATATATGGCATTGCTAATGGCCGATTTTCACACGCCGGCTTGAGCAGGTCCAGGAGTAAGAGTCAGAGTGAGTGTGAGTGTGAGTGTGCGTGGTGTGGTGTATGTGTGTGGGCATAAACAAACAACCAACTGGATAGATAGATAGATGGTCGGATAGAGATGCGAATGGGGACGGACAGGATATAGATGGGCCCCTCGGCGTCCCTGCATTTGCATTGAGTGCGGCCATAAATCAGTTTCATTCAATTCACTTAAGGACATTTTAGGTGCTAATTTCAAGCAAGAGTCAGTGACAAGCAGGTCAGATAAATATTTCTCGGATAGGAATCGATGGGGCTAAGGCCATAAATACGGATTTTAAGAAATACTTTCTCCTGTTTTAGGCTGTTTAAATAGTTTATTTCCCTTAAAACCCCTTTGAAAATGTTCTCCCATATTAAAAGCTTCTTTCTACATTCCCCCAGGATATATACTCCCTCAAGACTTTCCACTGTAAACAAGGACATGGGAATGCAAACTTTTCCAAGGGAAACCACACACCAATAGCTCTCACTCGGACAGAAATCTATGTGTATCTTTTGGCCTCCGGTACTGATTGCACTCAAATTGATTCTTGAATACATATTTGCATTTGATTATTTGTTGCTGGTGATTTCTATGCAAAATTAGACCAGGCTTTTTGCCAGTCTCTTTGAGCGTTTTGTCTGCCTCTCTGATTTCGACTCTTGAGTATGAGTTTGAGTGCTGGTGGCACATTTCATTTGATTACATTTCCGTTTCCAAATTGTTGGGCAAACACACCATCAGAAGGGGGAGACCCACAACAGGTGCGGTTGAGGCTCATCTTGCTACTCCAATGAAGCTTCTGATATGCAAATGCCTTCATTTTGTCGCTATAACGCGTAAAAATCTGCTAGATTCAACACAGACAACCAACCTCACTTCCTGTTCTCGTGTTTGTGGTCTGCAAGTGTCTGTGTGTGTGCAACCAAAAAATAAAGCAAAAAAAAATGGTACCAAAAAAGTGAGAGACGGGGTGAGCACGTAAAGCAAAGTTGCACTTGCGTAAAAGTTTCCTCACCCGTTTGTTGCAAATAAATTAAGTGCAGGCGACGTTGAGGCTTATTGGCACAGCTTTCGCTTATTTTGTAAACAGCACACAAATACACAAGTATCTGTGATGGGTGCCAGGAGAGGGGGTGGTTAGGGGGCAGCAGGAAAAGCGAAGCAGGTGGAAAAACCTCCCACTGGAAGCGACGTTTCCGCTGTCAGTTAAGTCAAATAACGGCAAGAAGACACGTAGCTGTTGCCGCTGCAGTTGGGGAAAAATTCTTAGAAATAGTTTTTAAAATAAAATAAATATTAGTTTATCAATTTGTTAATATTTAATATTTAAAATAAACATTACAAAGATTAATTCAATATTTTTTAGATTAAAAACAGTGTTTGGCCCGTAAATTGGGCTTGAAAAATATATAAAATTAGTCTAGAAAATAATAAATAAATATTAATAA